CGTGATTTTCTCGCTGGAGAATCCAAATGAACGCTGGGGCTGGAATGAAGCCATATATGACATATATTACAGGCTCAGTATGGCACTCTTTTAACAATCCCCCCCCGCCAATAAAATTAATAAATGGCTCACCTATGTTTTCTAGAGAGGGATCTTGCAGAGGCAGAGGGAGAATCCATACTATAAAGAAGAACCAAAGGAAAATCCAAGACCTAATTCCCCAAAGGGATAAATAGGCAAGCTGACAAAGCAATACTTCCAATAAGTAGTAAAAACAGCAATCCTACCTTAAAGAGCAGAACATCCACTATGCAGCCAGGTAGCAGATAGGAGTAGCTGGGCACAAACTGGACACCAATACTTACCCAGGGTAAACCAACACAAGGCTAGCAGATATAGCGCCAAGGCAGCTGTATTAGATGCTTTAAAAAAGGTCCGGGCAGCGAACAGCTGATTGCCCGGTTCGCGCATGCGCAGAGCGCTGGAACGCACGCTATGCGTTCCAAACGCTCGCGACTGGCATGCAAATTACTTCCGCTATCGCCGGAACCGTCCGCAAGCAACAAACAGTCGGCTGGAATGCATAATGCGTTCCAGCTCCCAATGCCCGGGCGCACAGGGAGCCCCAGGGAGCAGGGAAGCCTGCACAGCCCCACATTTAACCCATCAGAGGCTGGAACAGAGCCAGGGAGCAGGGAAGGCACTAAACAAGAGGCAAGAAGCAGATCCTAAAGGACAAGACCCCTAAGCATGAATTCAAATACTGCCAACAAGGTATGGGGGGGATATATAACCCCAATTAGTAGGGGCAGGCTGAAAACAGGGGGAATTTTTAAGGCTAACCAACCCCACAATTAAACAGAAAATAGTGTCTCCCTCAAACACTTACTTCCCACGCTGCAGTTCAGTACTTACACTGAACCTGACCCAGTTAGTCCTGCTCATGCAGGCTGTTTACTGGGTCCTTCAAATGAAGAGAGGCTGAACTTCATTTGGAACGAACCCACGACAAACGCAGGAAGGTGGCCATAAAACAAAATGTAAAAAGTCCTGTAGAACTTGCTAAGGACAGGAAAAAAAGACTGAGGTGTAGGGGGAGGAGGGACTCTATACCTATCAGTCTGATTAATTAATCTAATTAATTCCTGCCCTGTGACTACTAAGGGAGGAGCTACCCATAAGTGATGCTGCCATGATTAGCCAGGAATCTTATTTTTTTCACCCACGAAAAAGGCAAAATAAAAAACCTGAGTGCAAAAAAAAAAAAAAATACGACGAAAAGAAAATACCTGGTGCTAAAAAAAATAATCTATCTTCACCCAGTGAGGGCATGGTGCAGACTGAGCTGCACAAGGCGGGGAAAGGCTGCAAGTCAAAGATAGGTTTTGTTATCAATCACCTCACTGGTAGGGCATTGGACTGGGCTAACCCGATATGGGAATCTGGATCAGCTATGATCTGTACTGAGTTCCATGCTGCCTTTAGAAGGACTTTTGACATGCCTGGTAGGGTAGGTTCTCAATAGGAATCCTTTACGAGGACGTTTGTACACCCCTTACCTCCCCTACCCTATACCACTTTGCTTGCCTTACCCTCCCTCTGGTTCACCGCCAGAACCTATGCAGTTGGGTTCAACCAAGTTGCCCGAGGAGGAAAGACATTGTAGAAGGAAGGAAGGTTTGTGCCTCTATTGCGGGAAGAAGGGGCATGTAAGAGCTACGTGTCCCGACCCGCAGGGAAATGCTAGGACCTAACAAGGGGTTGGTCTTGGGTGTTACGGCACTATCCCCTCATGAAAAATCTGCCAGGCCGCTTTTTACGGTTACACTTTCTATCAATGGTGAGAACTTTTACCCCAAGCCCTTACTCGACTCAGGCGTGGATAGCAATTTTATAGACCTGTCTTTCACCGAGTCCTGCACTTTGACCTTAATTCGCAAGACCTCACCTATAACAGTAGAAGCACTTGATGGTAGACCATTAATGAAGCCCAAAGTAACCCATGAGACCCAGGAGTTACAGCTCACCGTAGGGACACTACACCATGAAAATATTATTTTTCACGTATTGTGTTCCACTTTGTGTCCGATTGTCCTAGGGTATCCTTAGTTAATTAAGCATAACCCCAAAATAGACTGGGTTAAACTGGACATAATGTCCTGGGTTTATTACTGTCTTACCCATTGTCTTATGCCGGTTTGCACTCTAAACCTGCCCTTGGCTCCTCCTCTCTCCACCTCGGTACCTCCACAATATGCAGACCTAGCCCAGGTCTTTGAGAAAAGAGAAGCCGGGAAACTTCCTCCCCATCACCCTTATGATTGTGCAACTGATCTATTGCCAGGGACTATGCCACCTAAAGACCAGGTATATCCCCTCTCTGAACATGAAAATAAGATCATGGAGGAGTATATTGAGGAGTCCCTGAAGAAAGGGTTTATCAGGAGATCCTCATCTCCGGCAGGTCCGGCAAGAAGGAGGGTGATCTTAGACCCTGCATTGACTATAGGGGTCTTAATAAGATCACGATATGCAATGTGTACCCCATTCCACTTATTAAAGAACTATTTGACCCTTTTAAAGGGTTCCAAATGGTTCATCAAACTCGATCTCAGGGGGACTTATAATTTGGTGCGAATAAGGGAGCAGGACAAGTGGAAAACCGCTTTTAACACCCGTAGTGGCCACTATGAGTACCCTTCAGCCTATGTAACTCCCCTGCTGTATTCCAAGATTTCATCAACGATGTCCTTCGTGAACTCCTGCACAAATGTGCAGTCGTATACCTGGATGACATCTTAGTATACTCTCCTGATCTAGAAACCCACCATGAGCATGTCAGATCAGTACTTAAGAAACTGCTAGATAATCAGGCATGTGCTGGCGATGTGGCACACAACCTGGCACGTATCTCCACATGTGGTGGTCATGCCCAGTAATTGCCACTTTCTGGGAACAAATTAGAGGAGAGATCAACAAAATTACAGGCGCCGATATCCCCCTGGCACCCCTAACGATGCTTTTGCACCACACCCAAAGCCCACTGACAGCCTACAAAAAATCCCTGGAACTGCCGCTACTCAATGCCGCCAAATCCCTTATCCCGAGGATGTGGAAACAGCCAAGAGCGCCCACCTTGAGGCAATGGATGTCAGTGGTAGAGGACATATACTCAATGGAGACCCTGACGGCCGACCTCCACGGGAAATCGGAACGGTGTGCATTGACCTGGTACCCATGGACCACATACGTGGCAGATGGAACTGTAACCCCCGAGCCAATATAGCTGAAACTCACAGAACACCACGTTAACTGCCTTACCCCCTCATAAGCACAGACACGCCCTACCCATTAACCACACACAGACTACGGACAGTTTTCACCCCCCCCAGACCACAACAGACATCAGGAAGACATAACACCCGCTAGAACAAACTACACAAACCACCGATACCTGGAGTACTCCAGGACGGACACCTTAAATACCCCCTACAGCTACTAGACCAGATACCGGTTCTCACCCTAAACGTAGAGTGCACATCATAAGTGCAACAAACTGCGCACTGAATGCAAGAGGAGCTAGGAGCCTTGAAACCTGATCATATGTTACACTACCTAATGCATGTGAAGGAAACTATTGAAATATTTATGATTTGAGAATGTTAGTATAAAGGCTACGAATGTTGTTATGCTATTCAGAAATATGATGTTACAACTGATGTTTCACCGTATCTACACATTTTTGTGACAAAATGATAAAAAGGAAAATAAAGATTGTCAAAAAAAAAAAAAGAAACTGCTAGATAATGGTCTTTTTTGCAAACTTGAGAAGTGCTTCTTTGATCAGACCTCTGTGCAGTTCTTGGGATACATTATTTCTGGAAAGGGTTTCAGCATGGATCCCGTTAAGCTAGAGGCCATTAAGTCCTGGCCCCTTCAGCATGGACTAAAGGCCATGCAAAGAAATTACTATAGAAAGTTCATAAAGAACTTCTCTTCCGTTGTGGCCCAAATAACGAAGATGACCAAGAAGGGGGTTAATCCCCGTGTTTGGAATTTAAAGGCTCTTGAAGCTTTCAATATAATTAAAAATGTGTTTATGTCAGCTCCTGTTTTGCACCACCCTGACCCGTCACTGCCTTTTATAGTAGAGGTCGATGCTTCCGAGTCAGGTGTGGGTGCAATACGGTCCCAAAGAAAGACACACAACGACCCTCTTCATCCATGTTGCTTTTTCTCTAAGAAACTGTCTGATGCAGAAAGAAATTATGATGTGGGAAACAGAGAACTGTTGGCCATTGTCCTAGCATTTAAAGAGTGGAGACTCCTACTTGAAGGTTCCAGGCACCCTATACTGATGATCACGGATCACAAGAACCTCTCTTACATAGCCAAGGCCAGACGTCTGTCTTCTCGCCGGGCCCGGTGGTCATTATTCCTACCTCGCTTCCAGTATATTATAACCTACAGACCTGGGTACCGCAACACTACTATCCAGGCAACATGAACCACTGGAGAGGGACCCCTCTCCGCCCGAATCCATAGTTCCTCCCGCTAACATCATGGCCGCTACACACTTGGTCACCTCCTCCATCTTTCTTGATAATATACAGGCATATCAAAACCAAGCTCCGCCTGAAACACCCTCAGGGTTATTATTTGTACAAGCTAGAGATAGGAGAAAAGTCATGACTTTGTTTCATAGAACCAAGACAGCGGGACATCCGGGCATTAGTAAAACATATAACAGCATAATAAGACAGTTCTGGTGGCCTTCTATTAGGAAGGATGTCAGGGAATACGTGGCAGCCTATCAAATCTGTACGCAATCTAAATCCTCCACGGGCATGCCACCAGGACTGCTTATGCCCCTTTCAATATCCAAAACGCCTTGGACACA